CTAAGAAACCCCAAAGATAAAATTGACCTGAAAACCAAGGCATATATGAAGTCCCCTGTGCATCATGCCCGGCCACATACATTGGACAGACCAATAGAAGAATAAGTACCCGCCTAGATGAACACAAAAATGCAGTAAAAAAGCTGGAACACACTTCCTCACTAGTCCAACACATGAAAGCCACAGGTCATAGCATTGACTTCAATGGCACCAAGACCCTAGCCACTATAGAAAACCCCAGCTACAGAATTATCAGAGAAGCCATAGAGATTGAAAAAAGACCTGAAAGCATGAATAGAAGAGATGACTCCACCAGACTGTCAATTATCTGGAAGCCTGCACTCACAAACAAAAAAATCTCCACACCACAACCCAGACAAACACCTGGGCACAAACAGACCCTTCCCCCGATACCTCCAGCTCAAACACACCCCAACCAGGTACCCAGATGAAACCTACCTTCCTAATAAATGATAGCCATCCATTTACTCGGAGCCAAGACGCACTAAAAGCCTCCAATACAGGAAACACAATGTTGCCAGCCAATCAAGACAAAAAAAGCTACAAAACAGACAGAAGATATTAGAAACACCAATCAAACAGAACACAGCAAACTCCAAGACCAATAAACACAGACCAAGACTCCCAACCAATCAGGATGAAGAAAAAACCATTCTGGCACAGCAGTAGGCTAGCACCAAATTTAAAAAAGAAACGGCTATGAAAGTCTGACTCACACATGAACACTATACAGAAGCCTGATGATGGCAGATGAGATTCTGCCGAAACGTTGCTACAACTTTAAAAGCACAACTATAATGACGTGGGAAAATACCTGAACAAAGCTGAATACCATACATATAAATACCCGCAAAAACTTAAGAAAATATACATACATATATACATACATATATCCACAATATTTACAAGCCACATCCACCCAGTCACATGACCATCAAGCCACACCCACAAATTAGGCCATGCCCACAGAACCAGTTGTTAAGAAATTTGAATCCCACCCCTTAATAGAATATAATATTACTATGTATAATAACATTCTGCAAGGGTTGGAAATCCTTGGAGATCATCTAGTCCAATTCTTTGTTGAAGGTACCCCAACAGAAAACCATCTGGCCTCAACAGCTGGCTACCCAACTTCTGTTTAATCTCCTGCAGTGAAGGAGATTCTACTTCTTCCTTAGGCATTTGCTCCTAGATATTTTTTCCTAATCAACGAAAATTCATTTCCTTGTAATTTTACCACATTAATTCTTGTCATAGAAACCATTCTAATTTTCTACATGGCAGCTCTCTTCAGATACTTGATGACTATGATCCTGTTTTGGCACTGCTTTCTATTTATTAGATAAATCATACTCAGTGACTCCAACTATTACTTATAAGTGTTTCTCTCTAAGAGTTTTCCCAGGCTCTCATCTAGAGCTATTTCGAAATGCCATGCCCAAAATTTTGTGCAATATTCTAGGCATAGTCTGAGTAATGTAAAACAGAGGGAAACCACTTGATCTTGCCATATTTTTGTATATGCCATGGTGGTGCATTGGTTAGAATACAGTATTGCAGGCTAATTTTGCTGACTGCCAGCTGCCAGCAGTTCAGCAGTTCAAGTCTCACTGGCTCCATGTTGACTCAGCTTTCCATCCTTCCGAGGTCAGTAAAATGGGGACCCAGATTGTTGGGGGACAATATGCTGATTCTGTAAATTGCTTAGAGAAGGCTGTAAAACCCTGTGAAGTCTAAGTGATGTTGCTATTGCTATGCAGGCTACATTTTTTTACAACTGCCTCATGCTGTTAACTCACACTGAATTTGTGATCCATCAAGACACCTAGATCTATATTTCATATACTGCCCAGTATACTTAAGCTTTGAATATTATTATTACCTTTATTGTCAGAGTACAACATGTGTACAATGAGATTGGCTGAGCTTCCCTTCATGCACGCCCCACCCCCCACAACACAACTCACAGTGAGGACAGAAGTCCCTAACCCAGTCCCAATCTTATTACACTATTTGATATTGATATCAAATGTTTGCATTTGTTCCTAATATTGATATTACCTGGTAAGGAAGTGGCCCTAGTATACTATTATTATACATTTGTTCCTGTTCAGATTTATCTTGGCAGATAATTACTCTGAACTTTGATAATGTTTGTTATTTCCCCTAGCTTGTGTTATCGGTACATTTGATAATATTATTTTCTAAACCTTAGTCCAAATATGTTAAATAGCACAGGCCTGCTTCAGATTCGTTGTCATTGACAATTGTTGGCTCTAACCAACTCTGTCTCTATCTGTCTCTATCTCTATGGAAGCGTGGTCCAGCCCATATTCTGTCATTCTCTAGTAGACTCTCCCTATTATTCAATCTATATATTGAGGGAAGCTGGATTGGAAGAAGAAGATGAGCAGGGTTTTAATCTTAGAGGAAGACACATCAATAACCTGTGCTGTGCTGATGAAAATACTCTGGTAGATGAAAATGCAAAGCTCTTGGAATTAAAGTCAAGGATCACCATGAAACAAAAATGGAACTAAGATTAAATTTTAAAAAATGATCAAACTCATGACAGATGCAGCAACCAGCTTTAGCATTGACAATGAAGATACTGAAGTAGTGGGTGGCTTTTGCCTTTTAGAATCAACTATTGACCATAAAGGACGCAGCAGTCAAGAAATTCACCATAGACTAGCACTTGGTACAATAGCAATAAATAAGCTTGGAAAAGATACAGTAGAACTTCTGGTCACAAACTCTTCTCTTCTGACTATGGCCAAATCAGGTGATGACCAAAAATTTCAGAAAATTTTTGCATCTGGTCGAGAACAAATACGTGGTGGCAATCAAATACCGCCATGGTGAGTTCCCCTTCCAGGGCATTTTTTTAAGCGCATGCACAGTCAGTCTCTCTTCCAGTCACAACCAAATTAGGTTGTGACCAAAGTCATGGAACGGACTATGGTCATGACTGGAGGTTCTACTGTATTCAGATACTGTGATTCAGTTTGTCTATACTTAGAAAGATAAGAACAGTGATGCTCTATGAAACTAAAAGCCAGATTCTGAAGAACCTATGGAGAAAGATTTTGAACCTTGATGTTGGTGGACATCATTTTACAAGGTTCTGTTTCTACTTAAGTGGATAAGTCCAGTTGGAGATATGGTGGGAAGGTAGAGAGAGAAGGCACCCTCAGTTGCTTCCACATATGGTACTTCAAGTCTCACTTCTCTTTCTTTTCTGTTCAACATCCTCTTTCTATTCTGTTTAACATCTGCACGAAACTATTGGAACAAGTTATCCATTATTTGAGGGCAAGGTATCACTGATATGCTAGTTGTAAAACTCCAAGAACTTCCAGAAAAAAAGCCAGGTTTTTACAACTTTCCAGAAGGTCATAAGGGTGGGCCATTGCTATCTCAGAAGATAAGGAAGGAAGTCCCTATAAGTAATAGCCACCTTTGGGCCTCTATCGCTTCATCTCCTGGAGTTACAGATTCTGATCAGGCATTCTCTGACAGGCTGGGCAGAAGTGGATAATTTTATCATTTGAGATAACCGATTGACTATTCTTGAACCTTGGTGGCACAGTGGTTAGAGTGCAGTGCTGCAAACTACTTCTGCTGACAGCCAGCTGCCTGCAATTTGGCAGATCGAATCCCACCAGGCTGAAGGTTGACTCAGCCTTCCATCCTTCTGAGGTGGGTAAAATAAGGAACCCAGATTGTTGGGGCAATATGCTGACTCTATAAACTGCTTAGAGAGGACTGTAAAGCACTATAAAGCGGTATATAAGTCTAAGTGCTATTGCTATTCTGCAACGGTATAATAGGATAAGACTGACTACAAAGCAAGTGGGTTGCTGCACTATGAACAGTTTCTGATTGATCTTTGTCATCACCTATGACAAATTGCAGTAATCTAAATGAGGGATGACAGAAGCATCAGTGATGACTGCCCTCAGAGCATCCTGTTCTAGGCAAGGCTGCTTTTGTGGGACTTGGTGAAGCTGAGCCAAAGTCTTCCTAGCCATAGCCACCACTTGCTCCTCTAAGCAGAAAGACCTCCTAGCAAAAGAATAGGATGCATTTCAAACCAGGCATTTTTAATGGAAATAAAAATTATTCCTATCTTCATTAGACTTTCTAGACCTAGCAAGGACCAAACACAGGAACAAGATATTTGCTCCATGTCCAACAGATTTGCCTTTTTGATCACTGGTGCATTGCCAGTGGAATTGTATTCCGCAGCAGGTTTTATAAAGGTCAAAGGGGGGAATAATCTGTTTAATCCAGATCCCATTCCAGGACAATAAATAAGATAGGAATACATGAATCAATGTGCTGATCTTTGTTATATAAATAATTAAGCTCAGGTATCTGAGCTTTGTTCAGGAGGAAATTTGGTATCTTGGAAAGGGCCAGAGTTATTTTTCTTTTCTACGCTTAAAAAAACTTTGTAACCTCAATTTTTTTTTTTTGTAATTTCCCTATTATAATCTTATTTTTGATGCTATTTTTATCACACTATAACAGGAAAGGATTTTTTAACTTTTGCAGTTTTCTGGATGCTGTGCCTGAGTTTTTGTAACTCAGCACATCTAGAATGTGTAAGATTGCTGCCTGAATATTTTAACAGCCCTTTTGAACAAGACGAAAGCAAGGAACAATGGATTTGGTCAGATAAGAAATAGCTTAATTCTTTGCGGTCTCCAAAGGAATTAAGGAACTTTTTAAGGGACAAATTACATAAAGTGAACAAATGAGAAGTGTATTTTGAAACAAGATCATTAATTTAAATTCCTTTCATCCTTGCTTAGATCTGATTAGATTAGATCTGTACAGCCTATTTATATGTGAGCCAAGTTTTTCAGCCCCATGTATATTCAGTGTAAATATAAACTTGGCTTTATCCATACTTGTTCCTTAGTGCACAATACATGGACCCATAAAACCTCTACCAAGGGGACTATAAGAAAGTATTTTGGAGAAGTTGTAACTGGAACAAGCCAGCACAAAAACTACAAATAATAGACTTGGGTATTTAAGCACGGAGAAGAGGTTTCTAAATATGACTTTTGAAGTTCCAAGTATTTAAAATAGATCACAATTTTATACAAATATTGGGCTCTAGGGATAGTTGGTTGACAAATTAGAGACATTTTACTGTACCAAACTATAATCACATTATAGTTCATCACAGACTTTTAATTGCTGCACTGTAATAGCAGATAGGAAGGACTTCCTGGAGAAAATCCCCTCGCTAAAGATTCTGATGACAAATGTGTGAGAAAAATAGTCCTGCATGTGCACAATATATTTGGACATACAGTGTACATTACATACCATACAGTGGTGCTGCTTTTGCTATTCATCACATACTATAAATATCATTCTAACAAACTGATGTGCTCCAGCCACCACTGGTACAAAATGACAGGATTATTTGCCAATAGACTGAATATTTATTCTGCTGCATCAAGTAAGAAGTGTGAGTCTAGGAAGACCCACAAACTGTGCACCACCCTTTAATGGGGAAGTGCTATCCTATTCAAGATTAAAATGGGAATATCTCCAGATCTGGGTGGTCCAAACACCCACAGCCATTCAGTCTTGGTAGGGTTGAGTTGGAGGCAATTCCTCCCCATCCAAATGCACACAGCCTCCAAGCATTAGAAGAAGAACTTTGGTAGCCTTTCTTGACGACCCTCATGTGATAACTGGGTATTATCAGCACATGGATGATGCTGAATCTCAGACTGGTGGATGATCTCACCCAGCAGTTTTATGTACATGTTGAAAAGGAAAGGAAACGGTAGAATTCAGTAGCATTCCACCAAGGAGGGATCTAGGGAACAATCTCTGCAAGTATCAGAGAACAGAAGATAATCCCATTCCATGATCAACAGTATTGAAAGCTGCTGAAAGATCAAGGAGCAGAAGGATAAATATATCACTGACATCCCAGCTCTTCCATGGTAATCAACAGGCATGAGTGAAGCTGTCTAAGTATGAAATCCCAGCCTGAACCCTACTGAAAAAGGGTTTAGATAGTGTATTTCTTTTATGGTTCTCATCACTCAGCAGCTTTTCCAAGAAAGAGAAGTTTGGAGATTGGCCAAAGGTTATCAAAGGATACGGGGATGGCCTCTTCTGGAAGGGGTGCACCACCACTTCTCCCAAGGCTGGTCATGAAATACTAAGCATAGGCCCAACCGTGGGTCCTCCCTAGCCATTTTCATAACCCAGAATGAACCTGGATCTAGTAAGGGTCTCTCCCTTCCAAACAAAGACCAGGTCACTTTAAACAGAGCTGTTGGATGACTATCAGTGGGCATAATAAGGGCAGAGAAACATTGACATCTCAATTACTTTATGCCATCATGAGTAATCCCTAATATGGGCTCTTACCTGTGTCTGGTCAGATTTGCTTCAAATCTTCCTTCTACAGGACTCCAGGGATCACTGCATCTCCTGGAGCTGCTCAGTAAACTGAGGTGCAGCTTGGGTTTGGTGCAAAGTTGCATAGGAGCGATTCAGTCTAAGGTCTCAACACCATCCCATTCCAGGCAGCAAGCAGGCCTTAGCTGGACCATCTTAGGCAAAACCCCAAGCTCTCTCTCTGGAACTCAACTTGGTCCCTCAAATCCTTGAGGCAGACCCATTGAACAGTCCCAACTCCCTGCAGGAAACAGTGACTCCAATGAGGTGGAAGGGAATTGGGGGCTGTCCAGGGCAACAGATTGATATTAATGCCCTCTCCAGTGTTAGATCACATCTCAATTGCCTGAGACAAAAACCATGTATGTTGGGTCATCAATTAGATCTATGGTTGCTAGGGAGAGTACAGCTGTATCTGAACACAACATTACTGGGTGGCAGATTGAAAACCCCAAAGGATCAACAGCAGTGGAGACTCTATCACCAACCCAACAACAGAATCCAACAATTCAGGCAGGGGAGTATGCCAACAGCAATCCCAATGGTTCCCTTATGCCCAATATCAGTCAGTGCCCCTCACATCCAATTATCTGCAGAGTGGAGCCTGTAATGATTCACAGATAACAACATCCCTTTTCCTTCCCTCTCCTTAGCTCTTCCTGCTACAGAACCTGAAACTTCAGGTGGGCCCATTTCCAAGAGGGGAATCTCTCTTGCAGATGAATCAATTAGTTGATACTCCTTGCATCTTTCTGGCTGGAGGTAATTCTTGGGTGGAGTTTTCCAACCTGAGGATAAGCACACTTTGCAACCTCAATTTCCCGGTGTATTGACTTCTCCTGAGGAAAAATGAATTTGCCCTGGTACTGCCAAGTTTTAAATTAAACAAACAAGCCAATTCTCAGCTGAGATCTGTTATTGGCTTTTTAAACTCTTTTTTATCTGCAATAAAAGAATGCTATTTTCCTTTGATAAGGATCTTGCTTTGTTTCAAAATGTTTTAAAATTTAAAAGGATTGCCCTTTAAATTCATTTAAATACAACAAATTGGACATGATGAATGGAAGGGGACAATGGAAATACCCTGATAATACCTTCTGTCTTCTATCAGATTAAAACAACAATCCAACATTAACCTTTGGAGGGACTCTGGAAGCAACATCTAAGATTGGGGAGTGGGGTTGTGTAGTCTTATGATTTTAGATTGTGTTCCCCAGTGTATAGGAATAAGCAGGAATGGTTTGTTTGTAGGGTGTATAAAGCTGTTGAATTAAAAGAAGAGAGCAGGCTGTTGCCCTTTGTCTTGCCAGCTGGCAACTCAATAAGAAACTACACTTCATGTAGTTTCTTATTCAGAAGAAATGTTGAAACTGAAACTATGTACAATTCACCTTCCCAAAAAACATTATTTATGTATTTGTTTTATTTGAACAATTTATATGGCCACCCAACATCATAGAAAGATTAAAAACCCAACAGTTATGAATAATAATTAATATTTATATTTATAATAATAGCCTCGGTGGCACAGTGGTTAGAATGCAGTACTGCAAGCTACTTCTACTGACTGCTGACTGCCTGCAATTTGGCAGATTGAATCTCACTAGGCTTTAGGTTGACTCAGCCTTCCATCCTTCCGAGGTGGGTAAAATGAGGATCCAGATTGTTGGAGTCAATATGCTGACTCTGTAAATTGCTTAGAGAGGGGTGTAAAGCACTATAAAACAGCATATAAGTCTAAGTGCTATTGCTATAACAGTTTATGATGCCTAATGCATTGTAGTCATAAAATCATATCCCCAACAAAGCTTGCCTAATTTCCAGGCCCAAATACCTGCAGAAATAGCATCTGGATACTCCAGCTGTTTACTGATGGCTCGTTGATAGTTTCTTGGTTGGGGTATTGCTTACTTGATTGTTAGACTGAAGTTAACCTTGAAGTTAATATATACTGTTCTCCAAGACAGGTACTGTTCTAGTTTAGACATCACGTCTTGGTCCAATAAGATGACATTGTTTGATGGGACTCAAACATGACCTCTGCTGGATCTAATGGTGAGGGCAGAAACAATGGGAGAAACATGGTCCCACAAATAGCCTGCTGCTTTGCATTGTAGGCTTTATAAGTGACAACTAGCAACTTTGCATTACACTCAGGAGACTAATAGGAGTCATGCAGCTCACAGAGCAGCTGCATTATATGGGCATAGTGAGAGACATCTGTAATGATATGTGAAAAAGACCTTGGGAGACAGGATGAAGAGATGCTGCCTAAGGAATAGCAATAGCAATAGCCCTTATATACTGCTTTGTAGTGTTTTACAGCCTTCTCTAAGCAGTTTTCAACATCAGCATATTGCCCCAAATAATCTGGGTCCTCATTTTACCAACCTTGGAAGGATGGAAGGCTGAATCAACCTTGAACTGGTCATAATCGAACTCTGGCAGACAGCAGAATTAGCCTGGAATACTGTGTTCTGACCACCATGCCTCTTTTAGAATGGACAGATAAGAAACAGCTTAAGTCATAGTTGGATAATGGGCATGACAAAAAGTCTCAAAAGAACCAAAAACTTGCAAGATTCTGTTCATGTGCTTTTACAATAAAGTAGAATTAGATTTTCTGGTTATGTTTCTTTTTCTGGTCTATCCAGTAAGGCTAACAATACCAAAAACTGCCCTCGTTGCTGCATTATGGAGTAGCTGCAGCTTCTAAATACTCTTCAAGGACAGTCCCATTTAAAGCACATTGCAGTAATCCAAATGGGAAGTGATCAAATGGGAAGCAACTAAAGATTACAAGAAACATTTCTCGATCCAGAAATGGGTACAATTGGTGCACAAGCTGGAGCCATGCAAAACTCCCTTCCCACTGTAATGGCTGCCACCTGTTCAGGGAGCAGGAGCTCTGAGTCCAGGAAGACACTCAAACTGTGTACCAATTCTAACAGAGGAATTGCACCATCAGACAGTTATGTAAACTTTCCACAACAAAGAAGACTTAAAACTCATAGGGTTAGGGTTGAACTGAAATTTGATGTCCCCTTCGAGTTCTTCACAGCCTCCAGCCACCTGACAGATCTCCAATGTAGACACATTAGAACATCAAAGTTATGCATGCATGTAACATAAGGTTATAGCAACAGAATCTTAGATAGTCTTGAAAACTAGAAGGTTTCTTGTCCGAGATGTATCAAGCACAGGAAATCAGGAGACCGGGCAGTTCAAATGACTATATAGGTTCAGTGTACACTAAAGCTCTCTACAAGAATCTGAACTACTAATGGTCAAAGCAAATTGACCATAGATAAAATTTGGGGCTCAATTGTGGTTGTAGGACTATCTGGTCCTGTACTCAAAATCACAGCTTTTAAATAGCTCTGTTTTCCAGAATTTTCCTTTTGCCTTATGAAGTCAGCAGATACTTGTTTTCTTGGGGTGCTTAAAAGGTATCTAATATTTTTTTTTATTTTTAAATAAAATAAAGAAAAAGAAGACTCAGAATACTACTTGATATGGAATAAATTCTATGACTTGTTAAAGACAAAGGGTAGAAGTTAGAGAAAGAAACAATGAACGCTTTTATTAAAAACAGAGATGGTGTATAACTATTATATGAGATAAGTATTCTTATTAGAAAATGGGACAATATTTTTTATAGTACTAGCTATGGTCCTTATTCTTTGTAAATAATAGATTCGGACAAAACGATGTTTTCAAAAATGTTTATGTATATATATTTTTAAAAAGGTATTTAATAATTCTCTTTAGCCTATGATGGTCCTGTTCCTGGCTTGCCAGATTCATTCTGTATCCTTTTCACATCTGCATAAAATACAAAACCCTTAGAAGATTCTTCACCTAGCAGAAATTTCTACCAGTAGCAGGGATAAAAGGAAAGCTGTTCAGATGTGAATTCATTTTAATTATTGATTCACTCAATGCTGCCTCTGTGCATGAGTGGGGGTATTCAAGGCAGCCAATAAATTTCATGAAACAGAAGCCAAAAGTTTAAAAACATACATTAAAGTTAATATACACTTAAAAGTCGGGGAAAGAAGAAGAACATCTCTATGAAATGCCAAAGAGCCAAGACAGCAAGACCCACATTAAAAGAGCCCTTAGGAGCCTCATAGCACAAAGACTTCTCCCAGGAGCCAGGTAAGCAGAAATTCTGAAATTGGGAGCATTTTCAACAGAAAATCCATCGGTATAAAGCCGCAATGCCCGCATTAAGCAACTGATCACCACTGCAGATATTGAATTATATAGGAATGATCTCCCTAGCTTGCTCCAATTGAATGCACATTAAAAGATATAAACCTTGGTAATCTTAGTAAAATTAAACATTCAGCCTATGCCACTTCCTGATAATTTTAATTGAGATTTATTTATTTATTTCATATGCTGCCCATCTCGTTCCCACCTGCTCTCTCCAAAATCCCACTCTGCTACTATAATATAAGGGGTCAGTTATTTTATTAGTATGTAGTTATAAATGGCTATCCACCTTGCAATCAACTGGATGGCTATCATACACAAAATCACATATTATGGGATTCATTTTATAAATGGTTGGAAAATAGAGTTAGCAATTAAATGATAAAGTTATAATGATAAGATATATAAGGTTGAATAGGCTGTAATATGAATGTAACTTGAGTAAGAAATGTATATAAAATATAAGCATTTGCACAAAATATACCGTGTTTCTCACAAAATAAGGCCAGGCCTTATTTTTTTTTGACCCCTGAAAAAATGGCTAGGCTGTCTTTTCGGGGGTGACTTAATTTCCTCCCCCACCTAGAGCGGCCCATACGCATGTACCTCTCCACGAGGCCATTTCTATTGGCCGACGAAAGCTCCCCAAAGGCAGAGTCCCCAGCCGCTTTGGGGCGAGGCGTGACTGCCCGTGTCCCCTTGCCATTAGGCAGTGTATTTTGGGTGATGGAAGCTCCCCAAGTGCAGTCACCAGCCACTTCGATCGGCCGGTAGAAGCGGCCTCGGGGCGAGAGCACACACACACTCCCCTCGCCGCGAGGCTGTTTCTATCAGCCGACGAAAGCTCCCTTGAAGGCAGAGTGCCCAGCTGCTTTAGGGCAAAGCGTAGCTGCCCGTGTCCCCTCGCCATTAGGCAATGTCTTTTGGGTGATGGAAGCTCCCCAAGTGCAGTCACCAGCCACTTCGATCGGCCGGTAGAAGCGGCCTCAGGGTGAGGGGAGTGTGTGTGCATGCTCACCCCAAGGCCGCTTCTACCAGCCGATCAAAGTGGCTGGTGACTGTCCTTGGGGAGCTTCCATCACCCGAAAGACACTATCTAATAGCGAGGGGACATGGGCAGCCACGCCTCGCCCTGAACTGGCTGGGGACTCTGCCTTCAGGGAGCTTCTATCGGCTGATGTTCTATCGGTAGATCGGGGTATTCTAGCCTAGGCTACCTGCAGGGAACTCCTAAAGGCAAGTTTTCTCCCCACCCCCTGCCCTTCCCCCCCATTTCTCTTCACCTCGTGTAGTTCTAACGAACGATGTGAGAAATGGCAGGGAAATGCATGGTTTAAATAGGTCTAAATTTTGGGGGTGGGGCTTAATTTCACCTCATGCCTAGAAATCATGCTGGGCCTTTCTATTGGTGGAGGCCGTAGTATTGTTGGAGAAACACGGTATGTACCTAGTCGACACACTGTATAATTGGAAGATGATTTGTTTTAAAATTAAAAGTAATTTTTAAAAAATACACAAAATCACATATAAAGACAATAGGAAAACAATAAAAACAGTAAAAAAAAAAACCATAAAAACCCTCATTAGCCAAGCAAACTAGAAATAAAACTGGCTCCATTTCCACCACCCTCTCCCTTTCCTTGTTTGCCTCTCCTGTGGGAGCCTCTCAGCTCAAACAAACATTATGGCTGACCCAGGCTGCACACATGAAGGCATCTAATGCTCATAAACATTATAGGGAAACGAGATGTAGTAACTCCTTGAGGTTTAACAGATAGAAGTGTCCTTTTGCAACAGCAAAGTTTCACGTCCAGGGAAACTGATTGCTAAGAGAGATTGCTAAAAGAAGGTCTCTAGTGGCAGCAGCCTCTTTTAATTTGTCACCAGTCTACCTTGACTCTCTCTCTCTCTCTCTCTCTCTCTCTCTCTCTCTCTCTCTGTGTGTGTGTGTGTGTGTGTGTGTGTGTGTGTGATATGCACCAGGATCTTTTGCAGCTACTTTATGAAGATTCATTTTGTTATGACTACCTCAGTAACATGGTGGATTGAAGATGGCTCTGCAAAAAGTAAAGTGGTTGATTATGGCTAAGAATTAGAAGTTCACAAGTAGATTGGTTCCTTTGACCCCCTCTGGAGAAGGAGAAGATGGGAGGTTGCCTATGTTGTACACTATCTTAGGTGCAAAGATATTTACCCATGTAGTAGGTTGTATTGCTATTATCCTTCTCATTTTTCTCATCTTCTCATTCCTCATCTTTTTTCATCTTTCCTACTATCTTTTGCTATTGGTATCTTATTATTTATCACTTGTTGTTTGTATATTATGATTAATGATTGTTACTATGATCTATGACCTATCATTTTGTTGTTTGTATGTACACAGAGAGCTTATGCACCTTGTGTAAATTCCAATCACACTTGGCCAATACAGAATTCTATAGGGTTGCTCTTCATGAGGTGACAAGCAGTGGTGGTATTCAATTTTTTTTTACTACCGGTTCTGTGGGTGTGGCTTGGTGGGCGTGGTGTGGCTTGGTGAGTGTGGTGTGGCTTGGTGGGCGTGGCTGGGGAAGGAT